TGAACAATGATATGTGAAACATTAAAAATATAGGAGTTACCTAGAAAAAGAGATTTTTTTGCTGATCTTAATAGAGGCCAAGCATCCTCAATTCAGTCACATGGCTAGGGTCAAGCTCTGAGGCATCCTTGTTAGCTTCTCGGTCTTCCACCACATACTCCTAGATCAGCAAAACAAGTCAAAACTCAAACTCAATCAAAATATAGATAAAATGGAAATCATAGCACAAGGTCCACAATCATTCTCAAGATTTATCTCAGGTGTACCACTGAAATGAGGGATTTAAGTTTCTTAAATGAAGAATAAATGTAATAAAGACTAACACTTTCGAGTCTTTCCCCCATATAATTCATATTCGTATTAATACTTAGTAATGTGGCTTCCTTTAGGGGAATGCTAAACCTTTGTCAGTTCTTGCTTGCCAAGAACATGGTAGTGGCGTTCATTGATCCTCTGTCCACATATTATAGCAATGAAGAAGCCATAGAGCAAACCCACCAACACAATTGCCAAAACTGCGAACGTATACAAAGATGAAAACAATAGTGGCTCACATGGATGATAGCAAGAAATATCATGAGGAAATATATTAAAATCTAAATTATTGAAAAATGGTGTTACAAAAATTATGGCGAGAATGATTTTATTATACTATACGATGAAAATCTTCAGTAAAAACCATGAAGCATGAATCTGATAGTTTAAAATGACTCTTAAGCTAGAAATATAATCTTTCATTTCTATGTAACATTCGAAGAACCATTAAATAAGTATTTACCAGCCATAGTATAAAACCCATATGGGTGTTCTTCGTAGCCAAACATTTCCCGCAGTTCTTCTCCATAAAATTTGTACACCAGCACACCTAGAAAAGCAACAATCTAGGGGAAGTTTCAGAACAACGTTACCAGTAAGACACGGTTAAGCTCTTCAAAATCAATAGCATCATTAGTTCACTTTGAATTGCAAAAGTGAAACTTTTAGAGAATGAATTCTACTCTAAAGCTAATGTGTAATTTTAAACATCAAAGTCTGTCTTCTTAGTTCTCCAGCCATACAATATTTTCTTTAATTTACTAAATCCACAGCAATCAAATTGGTATTTCGAAATACTATTGGAAAATTTATATACAACTTCTCAATTCTCTACAAAGTTGACAGAGTTTTATCTCCCTGACATTTGGAGAATAAAAATAAAAGACATAATTTTAAAGGTCCCGATCAGAAATTCAGATGGAGCAGATCAGAGCAAACTAATTATTTAAACAAGGAATCTAAGAAAGACAACTCTGACCAAGTTGGAGGGCATATATTCACTGAGTAGATGTAATTACCTACTTGAAGTAAAAGCTTAAAGAAATCATTAAGATCAAAGAAAACTTATTCAGAACTCAGGGAAAAGAGGATAGCACAAAAAATGAAAGACACTACAGCATAATTGACTATCCGGTAAAAGGAAAATCTGGGGATATTGCACAGTATTGTTTCCAGTAACCACAGCAAAATGTATAAACATTATAAAAATGTTTCTGATTATGAAAATTTTGGCAGAAATCAAATATTTTGTACCAGTTGAACAATAACAAAAATGGCAGCATGGTCCCTCGCAACAAGAAGTTGAAACTTTAACCTCAACCACCAACGATCAGCTGGGACATTTGCCCGCAATACAAACTTTTCCCTGCATTCTGTACAGTGTGCAAAAGCAAAACCCTCCTGAATCGTGTAAAACAGAAAAAAACCGTAAGAAATTGAAAGGAACAAGTTCTGCAAATTGCCAAGATAGTAACTCTTTGTTAGCCCACATACTACAATAGGAAATGACATTAATAAAGAACTATAGATCCCATTTTCCATATGAAAACGGAATCTCAATATCAGTATCAGAATTCAGAACCATATAGAGACGCACGTAAACAATTACATATGTATGATAAAGCATCAGTGTGACCTTAAATATTTCAAAACACAAAGTAGCTAGTGAAGTAAGAACAAAATTAATGATGTTACACCTTTGTTGACCTCCAATTATCAAGACATGATCTGTGGACATACTTCTGGGTGCCTTTACAATGGCATGGTGCAATTAAATCCTCTCCTGAATTTAATGATCAGAGAATTAATAAATCAAGAAAACCAGTGTGAAATTTATTAGTATGTCACTCATATCATCATCTCTATCGGTTTCCCTATGATGGGTATCTAGGTTATGAAAAAATAAATTAATTAATTAAATGGCTGCAAAGGGATTAAACCTTCAGTTTCAAGGCATATGCGGCACTGAGGCTGGTCTGAATGTACTAGGCATATATCCTCATCTATTTCCGGAACAGATGAATCACCAGCAGTAATAGAACATCCCACACCCACAGTTATTTCACGTAAAGAAGAAGACTCTTCTGATCTTTCAGCTGCACTAGCCTGAGATAAAATGGGTTCTGTTTCTGAAGCATTCTCAGTCCGACTATCATGCTGTACCAATTGCATTGCTCGAGGCTTTGAATGAAGTTGTGGAAATAACCATCACATTAACAGTTCTCGAAAGATAGCGTGTCAACAGAGAGCTTCCTGCATCGACACTGTCTAGAGTAATAAATGAGCCAAATCATGTACTGAGCAATATGTGCAATCACTGAAGTATAACTTATTATCTTTGTTCGGGTCATAATTAACATCAGGCCACATCATATTTTGTTACAGCAAGAAAGTCAAATGATTCTTCATTCACATGGAACAACACAAAGCCCACATACAGATTTACATTAAAAATCAGTCTGACAGAAAACTTCACATCAGAATCTAATAGAATGCAGGTGAAATTCCCGGCCTCGGATCCAAGGTACAAACAAGATACAATAAACTTTTCTTCAAACAAGAAATCAAATAGAAAGTGTGTCTAATATCGTTCCCTTATTTCCAATATGTCACATAATGATATTTGTACACCTCAACCGCATAGGCATTGACCTGATGACCTCACACATAAAAGAAACGAAAATCAGAAACAAGTAAGCCCACAAAAACTGTCACGTACATTAGAATCCCCATCCGTCAAGTTAAAATCAAATCTAGCAATCACACCAGAAAAAAACAATAAAAGCCCGTGAGCAAGCATCACACAAACAGTTGGTCGGATTGATTAAGTATCAAATGCTATGAAATCAAGTTATCTCAATGCAATGAAGAACAAATTGAAATGGGCAGTGCAGTAACCCAATAAAATGCATAGTTCCTGCGATTGGAGGTGAGCATCTCAATTCTCAGGAAATAAACGCAAACTCTGGTTATTTCAGATGACAACAATGAAGTAATAATGCAAATTTTTTGGGGGTTTTGGGTGCAGGAGAAATGTGAGCTTATTAGGTTTTTTTTTCTTGATTTGGATGATGATTTTTTGACTTTTGTCTGTCAGTGAGAAGCCCCAAGACGAGGACGATGATTGAGAAGTCTAAGGCAATCTCGGGAATATAAATTCTTGTGGGGCTAAAACGGGAAATACATATTATGGGTTGACAAATTTCTTTGAACTGCAATTTTTGTCCTATATGTTTCACCACCATAACTTTTTCGTTCTTCTCGAATTACGTTTTTTATTTTCGTTTTGTATGTTTGCAAAAAGATTACAAAAATGTCTTTTTGTAACAAAAAGGTCATTTATGTTTTGTAAAAGAAGGTTCCAAGTTCATCCCTTATGTATGAAAATGATCTTTTTGTAACAATTAAAAACAAAATTCAAAAAGGACGAAAAAATTAAAATAGTAAAACATACATAACTAGAGTTGTAATTTACTCAATTTATTTTTGCTTCGTAAGTTTTATGTACCAATTTACCAAATGAGGTCATGTCTTGTGTGTGGGAAAAATGTACGATAAGTTGTCTTTATTTTTTGTTCAAATTGAGAAATAAAATTCAGTGCTTAGTTTGCTAACAAATGGATTGAATTGTAAAGTAAATCAATCTTTCCAAAAAGAACTGATCTGGATAAGGAATTTCACCTTTTTCATTTGAAGGTGTATGTGAGCATTTACAATGTAGTGGGTCTAATCTTATTTATGTGGCATGTAAATAAAATTTAAGTCTTGGATAACATGGATAAAATTATGTAAAGTTGATAAAATTCACGCAAAGAGACTATATCTCTATTTGGGTCTAAAATAGACTTAAGGGTAGATCGGATCTCTTTTTGTGGCTGTCACATCAGTAAAACTCAGTATACTTTTGTTTGCATTGGAAAATACATTTTTTTAGACTAGGTGTATTTTTTATATGACATATAATTTTTTGTGTTGAACCCAAAGCATCTACATAATGAAGTTTTTAATATAATTTCTATAGAGTCATTGGTAGTTTTCTTATAGAGTCATTTATACTTAATGCATTGACATCTGTCCAAAGTGTATTTATTATATAACACGTGTCAATACATTAATTGTAAATAAGTATAGATGGTTTCATGTCATTCGATGGTTTCATAGCAAAACTGAAAGTTTGTAGATGTTCTAAAGTTTAATTCAGGCGAAATAATATTAAATTCTATCTTGATTACGATAATTATAGGTTTGAAATAGAAGAACACATCTTAGGCACATTTTTCATTGATTTATTTACAAAACAAACCGTAATTTTTAGTTCATGTTCTTACCATTTTTCGAACAGAGAAGAGAAAATTTCAGGGAAAAAAATGAGTAGTTTTACTAGAATGAACAAAGATTAAAGAAGAACATATTAAAAAGAAGGTGAAGAAGAAAGAGGGTAAAAACTTGAAATGTCCGTCTCTCAAATTCTGTTAAAGAATATTGAATAAAAAATACTTCGCTTGAAAATAGTTATTTTTATTTTTGTAAGTATTTTTACTTGTGTTGTCAACCTAATTGTATACTAAGTTGGCAATGCAGCATTATTGATTTAAAAAACACGCAATTATAGAAAAAATGAAAATACAAATATAAATAAAAAGATACAAAACATCAAGTAATAAAAATGAGAAAATTACTCCTATTACGATACCATACAAGAGTTATATTTAAAAAACGATACATGAAAAAACAATTGTACATTACGAGATAAGTTAAATAGCTTTAATATTAAAATAAAATCAAAACGTGTTTTTAAAATTAGTATGGGATATGGAAGGTTACATCTTTATCGATATCTCAAAATTAATGTATTGTTCATTTTTCCAAACTCCATTATGGTGTAGGAACACCATAAAATTCGACATTATCTGCACACACAACAACAATCACATAAATTCATGAACAAAATCAACTTGTTTCACGAAAAAAAAAAAAAAAAAAAAAAAAAAAAAAAAAAAAAAACTTTTGGCGAAATTACATACCTGTTGGGTTTAAGATCGTTGTCCCAAGTTTTTCCAAATCGTGGAATATCTTCAGTTTTCAGAAAGTTCGTGGCTTGGTTTTTAGAGAATACAGATCGTGGAAGGTCTGAGTTGTTTTTAGAAAAGGCATGAGATTTTGTTTTTGAAATTTGGTAAACCACGTTTGTTACGCTAATCACCAATTTTTTAGGAATTTAATTGTTTATTGTATATAAGATAATATCTGTTAAGGAAGTCGTAGATATGATGAATCTTTTAGAAGGTAGTAAATATGTAGATTGATATTTAGAGGTCTCGTAGATATGTAATTTCGCCAAACAAACACTCAAACTTATCATAATACGCCATACTATCCTAATCAATCATCATCCTTATGCCATATTAGTTAGTAGGCCCAATAAGCCCAAAATTACAACATGCAGTCTGTAAGGGCCCAACAATTCATGCTATTCAATAGGGGTAATTTTTCCCTTTTCTATATTCAATGTTCAATAGATGTACTACGCAAGGGCCCAATAATCCACATTTTCTAGATATTTGATAATTACATGGAGGTCAAACTACGAGAGCCCACCCCGAAGTCCTATAACAAACCAAATTATAGTGGAGTGGTTGTTGGGTAGGGTTATAAGTGAGTCGAGCTCAAACTCATGATATTTAAAGTCGATCTCAAACATTATTAGTTTGGCTCGTTACACTAATGAACTGATAGACGAGACCGGACTTAGACATGTTAATTTAATGAGTCGGGTTATGTTAAAAATATACAATAATGTGTAAAAACTCTTAGTTATCAAGAGTTCGACTTGTTTGATAAATGAACTGATCTGAGCCGAACTCGTTTCGTTTAAGAACTCTTGTGAAATTAAATCCAATTGCATGATATTGAAATTTTAAATATTATTTAAAAAAATCGAACTAAAATGTAAATCTAAAACACGTTTTGGGATATAGGACCATAAATTGGGTTCATCTATGCCAAAACCACATTAATGACTAAAAGTTAATATTTTATAGTGTAAGCCGGTCCAAAAATTGACAATAAATTTAGGCAACAATTTAACTTTATAAATAACTAAATTGAGCAATTTGAGCTGTAGACCTAAATGTTGTCCTCAAAAGAAAATAAAAGTATTCAGAATATTTTGAACTAAAAGTTTTACGAACTTGGAATTGGACTTTCAAATTGCATATTTTAACCTCTTATACATAACCTACAAATTTCCACATCCCCACTTTAAACTAACAACAAATATTTGATTTACTCATGTCTAACTTTTCAAATATGTAATTTTAAAAACTCGACATATGATTACGATAATTAATTATATAATTGAGAGAGACTATTAGTTCAATTCATTAAAGGTCCGTAATCCACCCTATATATAATTCTCGAATGTCCTGAGCCTAAGTGGTAGATTCGTATGCTTCAAAATCTTATTTGGCAAATTTTCATGATTTGTCATTTGACTTTGATGAATTTTGATTTTTTTTCAATCAGAAAATAGATAGACTTGAAATATCCATGAATATACTAGATATTTACGATCAATTTTAAGAGCATTAATTATGTTTTCATATTATTTTATATTATAGACGTGATTTATAGGGTATAAGTTTTCTCTCCAATCTTTCTTTATTCTTTATCTTTCTTTTATAATTATAAAAAAGTTACTAACAAAAATAATTAATATACTTAAAAGTTAATAGCTTTTTATTGATTATCAATTTCTTATATACAATATATCAAATGAATCATGTCTTGATGATATTTGATTTGACATCTGTATTGTAATAAATATAAATAATAAATTAAATTATTTATTAATATTATAAAAATATTATTTAAATCAATTTAGATACAGATTAATTATATGATATAAGTTAAAAAATTATTATAATATGAGATGTTAAGGGTATAAGTGCCGGTTGCCATTTTAAATACAAATAAAATAAAATATGTTTTTTTAAGAAAAATATTTGAAAACTATTTTTTTTAATTTTAATTTTATATATAATTTTCTTAACAAGCACCCGTGTAATACACGGGTATTGTACTAGTAGATAAGAATGGAACTAAAAACATACAAACAATTTGGCCATGTAATTCATAGGTTTTTTACTATTATTCTATAATAAACAAGGATGTATAGTATATTTCATAGATAAATAATAAATTATTATTATTATTTTTAATATAATTTTATATTGAATAATATGAAGATTGATGAATAAGTGGATAATAAAATTTGACTGAAATTAGTAAAACAATTAATATAATTAATTAGTAATTTGAAATTCATAAATGAATGCATAACAATGAAGTATTCTAAAAACTGAATTTATGATTTTATTGTTTTATTGTGATAAAAAGTGATAAGAAAATAAATGGAGTAGATAAATATTTTTTTAAACAAAAGAAAATTATTCTGTTAAAAGAAGTTATATTTTATTGTTCCCTAAAACGTTATCTATATCTATACTTATATTAAAAGGTATACCATTATCAGATTTAATATAAAGAAAAGTCAACAACATTTATTGCATTACTATTTCCGTATTACACAATCTATACTTTTATAAAAAGAGATTCTATTTACTACATTTACTATCCAGAAAAGTCAACTGCATTAAATGTCATTACTATTTTCGTATTATAATATTTTATTTATTTAATTAATTTATATATTTATTTTATTTTAAAAAGGTAAGTATAATAAAAATATTTTAATAATAAAAAAAATCAAATACCAAATAAAAATGTATACTTTGACTTATTTGATTATATTTGGTATTTGATTATACCAAATATATTACTATTTAGTATATACATTAAATACTTACTAAAGTATTTATTTGTTTTATTTGTCAAAGTTAAGTATAGATTTATTTATATTATCAAATCATAAAAAAATATTAAATCCATATTGTAAAACAAAAAAAATCATATAATTTTATAACAATTCTACTACACTATTTAACAATATTTCTTTTCATTATATAATAAAATAATAATTAAATATTATATGGCGAACAACAATAAGTAAAACTGTTACTTTCTCTTATATCAAGGGATAAATTTATATGCTAAAATTAAATTTTTATTAGTATAAATGTTTTAGTGAGATAATATATTAATTATTTTACAAGCTAGCCCTAACATGCTCATATTTAATGTTTTAAAAGATGTAGAAAAAAAACTTATAATAACTCTATTGTTTTTTAGACTTAAACGTTGATTAAAAGAGGTAAAAATTCCTAATATTTTAGACTTAAACGTTGATTAACACCATAGATTGAGAGTTTATATTTAGTAAAATTCCTAATTGTAATAAAAAAAATTAATTTTTGCTATATTTTAGAATATCTTTAAATTCATTATAAAAAACAAAAAGAAAAAAAACTACAATGAAAAAAACAAGTCAGCTATATATCGATTTGTTGTACTCCTCAAATCACATTCACAATTTGGCTACAAGGAATGGAAACTCATTGATTAAAATTTTGTCAGTAGCATAGTTTTTAAACCCGGCCCGGTGATCAACCCGGACAGGTCCTCGGGACACCTGGTCACCGGTTCAACCGTCAGGTCACCAGGTCAATTGTTGAACCGGATAATTAATTTTAAAATTTTTAAAATTATATATAGAGTATTTTTGTTATATAAATATACATAAAAGTAACAAAATTAAATGTTTTGTGTATAAAATTTGTATATTAAAGTGTTAATAATATGTATCTCATGATAAATATTTACCAAATAAACATATATACATATTTTTAATTTAAAAATAAAACAAAAAAAATAAAAAAAATATATATGGACCGGGTCAATGCCCGAGTCAGCCGGGTCTCTGCCGAGTCGGCCGGGTTTTGACCGGGTCCTTGGTTGCCCGGTCCAAATACTCCACCCGGACCGGTTCCGGCTCCGGGTCGACGCTCCGGGCCGGTCCAAGTCTCAAAACACTGGTCAGTAGTCTTAATATACAAGAGACTTTAAGACTCCCACTTGAATATTATAAAACTTTTATTGAACATTGTACAATTTTCTTGCGCATTATAAACTTTTATTGAATATTGCATCTTATAATATAATATTCTCCAAATAAATATATCTTGTGCTTTGCACGGGTCACGTACTATATATATCCCGTACATTTTTCTTTATTCATGTATATAATTATAAGTCTGGATAAATAGCCTTAAAATTGTGCACCCCGTGCATCGCACGGGCTCTGTACTAGTATATATAATAAGAATTAAAATTGACCATAAATAGTAATAAGAAAAGTCAAACCACATTCATTATATACTATTTTCAGCAATTTCTTTATTTTACATTTTAATTTTAATTCATTATCAAAAATTGGATGGTTCCTAAATTAATGGGTTTTAGATGCACGGATCGTGTTTCAGAAATTATAAAATCATTTAAAATCGGATGGTTCCTAAGTTAATGTTTATAAACTTTTCAAAGTTGTAATCTTTATGACATCTTTTCTTTTTGACTTTTAATAATAAAATCATTTTAAATATATATATTCTAATCCAAAAATTCAATCATGTTAATATATATATAGCTAAAAATATATTAAATTGCATATCCAATCAATTATTCTTGATTTTTTTTTAAATTACTATGTTTATTTTTTATTAATATGCATAAATAAAAATAAATAATTTATCTTTAGATATATAATTTACAATCTTAATGTTTTATCATTTGGTGTAGATATATGAATCATATTTTTTTTTTATTTCATAAAATTAAATATTATATTTAAAGAAAATAAGGAAATTACTTTGGATCAATTGGGTGATTGAATTAGGGTACTGCCCACGTTGATTGAATTACTTTTGGGTGATATTTAAAATAGTCAAAAAACTTTGAAACAACTTGGTTGGTCCCAGGTAACTAAGTTATGTATCAGTTTGACCAGACCAAATCGATTATTGAACCTAAATATAAATTTTAATATTGAAAATACTTTATTACGTGAATGTGATGTAGTCCAAACCTTAAATAATCATATTAACAATACTTTTATGACAACATGATTAATGATTTATGAATATTTATATATCATTTTATTATTATTTATGTAAACAAAATAATTATTTTATTATATTTTTTTATTAATGTACGGTAAATATAAGGTTTTGATAACCGGACCATCATCGAAACGATCAAGTTATTTTATTAAATCATTTGTAGTTGTTCAAATTTTAATACATAATACTTATATATATATATATATATAGTACTTTGTGTAATAAATTTAAATAAAAAGTGTTACTTAAATATCTAAACAATTTATAAATTCAAATATTTAAATTAATTGATAAACAATTTATAAATATCAATTTTATTTAAATATGTAATTTGATTTAAAATTATTTTTAATGTAACAAAATTTGTTTAGAAAATCGTATCGATCCTACCAGTCCAACAGACTAGTGTTGAAAGATTCGATAGCAAATATTTTATTCAAGCGCACTAGACTGTTTATAAACCAGTATTCAACTAGACTGTTTATAAACCAGTTCTCAGTCCATCCTGTCAGACTGTATTCAACTTGGTTTAATTTAAAAATAATGGATAAATCATGATTAATGTTATTTATTTATTCAATTTATAATACTCCTGACACTAGTTGTTGCGTACAATTTGTCTTCTGAAAGTCAGCACATTATAATCTGAGAATTGATTTTTTTCAGTTTACTTTTGCTTCGACTTCTTGACTGTCACTCACTGGCCATCGCTGAGGAGGAAGGCGAAGACGACGACGAAGAATAAAAATGGGATCCGACTCGAATATGGTGCACTCGCCCATTATCACATACGCCTCAATGGTGTCCCTTCTCTCTCTTTGCCCACCTTTTGTTATTCTCTTGTGAGTCTTCTCTCCACCTTTTTTTTTTTTTTTTNTTTTTGAAATCCTGTATCTCTTGATCTGTTTTTCGAAAGATGTTCTTCTGTCTCCGTTTGAGATTCACGTGGTGTGCTTATAAGGAAAATCGCTCGTTTTAGTTAATCGATATTTATGGATTAGATTGTTCTGTCTGCAGATAAATTGTTTGATGCTCGATTTATGTAATCAGCATTTACGAACGGCTTTTCTGCTGAAGTAACGGTTTTTATGCTTAATTTGGTTTTTCTGACAGTTAATCGGATGAAAGGCTTGAGCTAGATAGATAGAGTAACTGCAACTGTTCGATATTTTGACTGACTTCATAAATGTTGGAAATTTGAATCTGTTAACTTTAAGTTAGTTCATCATACTTCAGTAGTTTTATGGGTCTGATGAGATGGGTTCGGAATTAGAAATCCTAATACAAAATGGCTGTCATATATTCCTAATGGAACCTTCTGAATGCATTTTTTTTACTTACAATTGTGATATGGATAAAACATGTGTGCAGATGGTATACTATGGTACATGCCGATGGATCTGTGTTGCAAACATGGGATTACCTTCGGCAGAATGGTCTTCATGGTTTCATCAATATCTGGCCGAAGCCCTCCCCAACAGCGTGGAAGATTATTGCGTGTTATGGGGCATTTGAGGCTGCACTTCAGCTTTGGCTACCTGGGAAAAGGGTCGAGGGTCCTATATCCCCTAATGGAAATAGACCTGTCTATAAGGTAGTATTCCTTCATGATCATTTTATATAGATTTTTATTTTTTATTTTTCATGCAAGATTGCAAGCCAACATTAGGATAATAAGCATTT